CTTAATTTGGAGCTAAAACTATGATAATCTACAGCGAAAAAACTTCTGCCTAGGAATGAAAATAATTTACTTTCCTCCATAGGGATGCGAAATTACTATTTTCCTACCTGAAAAAAAGGTAACAAATTGTAAGTATTCTATTCTATTCTTCAAAGTCAAGTCAGGTTATTTTTTATTTATTTCCATTTCTACTCTAAAACAAATGCCAAGAACCAAGCATATCACCTTTACTTTATAGCAATTTATAGCAAAGAAAGTAATTGAAGAGTTTGGGGCAAAAAGCGGTCAAAGACCAAATTTGTCAAAATCGAGATTTCGTCAGATTTTGCATTAAAAATATACTCTCCATCGTCTGGAGCAAAAACCGTCCATGTATTAGCATCAAAATAGCATTTACTTACACATAGCCCTTTTATTGCACCAAACGTGTTGATGGACCGGGTAGGCGCATGTAATAGTTTGTGTCAAAAAGCGTCCACGTGTTGCACATGACCGTTTGTTGCACCAAAAGTCCTTGACCTATATATTTGCTGTTATTCTAACCTCAAAGCGCTCAGTACAGGTTCACACAAGGCACACGATCTTACTTAAAAATGAGTGATTATTTAAGTGATACAAGTGATACTGACCCTTTCCATAACTCAGATGATAGTGACAAGGACCCTGACTATGTAGATTCAAGTGATAACGAAAATAATCAAGGTAGGAAGTTTTTTTTTTTTTTTTGTTCTGTTTGTAAAGCTACTATTTTGGTAAAATTTACAGGATTCACAGCACAAGCTCCTAGTTCAACAACTGATACTTCCGAAGATGAATTTGATGAAGACCAAGCAGGTATGCTTTAAAAAAATAAATAATTGGATATTCTAAAAGATGATTTATTGTTATTTACAGGGCCATCCAGACCACATGTTACTACATCCAGAACTGATACTTCTCATATTACTGCCAACGACGAGATTATTGAAAACGAAGCCGGTAACTATGCGATTTTTTTAAGCAATTTGTTAATCTGAAAGTGTTATTTTTATTTTAGAAAACAACGACGCCGGAATGGAAACTAAAACTAAGAAAAGAAAAAGAAGGCCTGAAAAATGGAAGAAAAATATAAATAAACTAAAAAGAAATTCAGGCAAACAGTATATTAATAAAAAGGGTATAGTTGTCTCGGAAAAGAGGTTGGGTCCTAGATGTCAGTGCCGTGGGAAATGTTTTGATATTTTAACAGAAGTTGAGAAAAACACAATATTTGGAAACTTTTACTCCATGCAAGATAAAAATATTCAGGACTCATACTTGGGTGCACTTATAGATGTGAAAAAGGTAGTAAGGAGAAGAAAAACCACTGAGGTTGAAAAAAAAATCTATTCCTATTACTACCACGTCAAAGTAGGCCCTAAAAGTGTGAAGGTTTGCCGTACAGCCTTTTGTAGCCTGCATGGAATACATAAGTCACGTGTTTTGAGGATTTGTCATTCTAGGGCCTCTGGATCCTTGCTTGAGAAAGATAAGCGTGGAAAACATCAGAATAGACCGAACAAAGTTCCTGACGAAGTGGTTGCTACAGTAAAAAATCACATTGAAAGTTTCCCAGCACGCGAGTCCCACTATTCCAGAAATAAAAATAAGAAAAAATTTCTGCCCGCTGAGTTAAATGTAAAAAAAATGTATGAGCTTTACTTAGAAAAGTATGATTTTGACCAATATTCTCTGTTAAAAAACCATCAAAAAATCAAGCCCAAGGTTACATATGATTTTTACTATCGTTATTTTACGCAAAACTATAACTTATCCTTCGGATATCCCAGAAGTGACACCTGCTCTTCTTGCGACGTAATGAAAATTCGTATTGAAGCTGCCTCGACAGAGGAAGAAAGAAGGGAATTAACAGTCCAGAAGGAAGTGCATCTTCGCAAAGCCCAAGCATTCTATGATGACTTAAAAGAAAAATCAGAACTAGCAGTAACCGATCCCTCTGTCGAAACGATCTGTTTTGATTATCAGCAGAACCTACCACTTCCTGTTTTGACGACTGGTGACATATTCTATGCAAGGCAAATATGGGTTTACAACCAGATGTTCCATTCCTGCTCAAACAACCAATCAGTAAGCTACATGTTTGACGAAATGACTGCAAAAAAGGGTTGCATCGAATCGATTTCTTTTTTAATGCATTTCATAGAGAAATATGTCAGCAAAACTGTCACAACTTTGTACATCTTTACTGACAACTGTGCGGGGCAAAACAAAAATGCGGTAATGGTGCATTTTTTGCTAGCCTTAGTCAGTAATGGAAGATTCAGAAAAATAGTTCATCACTTACCAGAGCCAGGACACAGCTTTTTACCCTGCGATCGAAACTTTGGTCAAATTGAAAAGAAAAAACGCAAGAAAGAGCTTCTTTATTTGCCAGATGAATGGTATGATTTGGTTCAGAGCTGTGGCAAAAAGTTTGTTGTCGAGCGGGTGGAACAAGACATTATATTTGATTTTAAAAGTTATCTTGAACCATATTTTAAGAAGACTTCCGTAATAAAGAAAAAACCATTCACCATTTCAAAGTATAGGATCTTCATCTATGATTCTGTTCAACCTGATCAAGTGCTTGTTACAGAAACTCACAATATTGCTCTTGTCGTCGGATATCCTTTGTATAAATCTCCAGGTACCAAAATCGATTTACATGTGGCTCCTTTAGCATACCATGAGAAGTTAGCCTTAAAAACCAAAAAGTATGACAGCATAATGCCTATTGTCAAAAAATATGTTCCACCTATTTATTTGGAATATTATAATACAATAAAACGGGCAGCAGATGAGAATAATGCCGAAGATTCCGATTGATTTTATCTTAAATGTATCTAGTTTACTTTTCTCTACACTTACTTGTATAAAGCTATGTTGAAGACCGTAGTTATTTGATCTAATCATTAAAATTACATATTTTGTAATTCAATTTGTGTTTTTTTTTTGCTTTATTGGTGGCAACAACCGGCCACGTGCATGTTAAGATGTGAAATAAAAACTTTGTCATTAGCAATATAAAGTGGAAAAATATAGTGTCTTGTTAAGTTTTTAGTTAGCAATTAAACGAAACATACCAAAAAAATATGTCTTGGAAATTAGACGAATGGTACGTTTTTCTCAATTATCTCAAAACTAGGTTCCATGCACGTGACCGATTATTGCACCAAGCTCTTCAATTACCTATCTACATATTGCTATATTGACGTTACTTCAAGAAAATAATTAGAGTAACACCTCCGTTACTATTAACCCCTATTAAAAGTAAGGTTTTCATCAGTGACAACATTGAATTGATGTTACTTTAAAAAAAAAATTATAGTAACACCTCTGTTACTTTAGCCACGGCCAAATAAAAAATATGATGTATTATGTTGTATGGTTGAAATTAAATAAAAATATTCAACCGATGGGAAATCCCATCCTTAATTATTGTTTCAAGTAAAAATATTATATAACTAGATAGGTAAATATCCTCTTTGATATAAACCTTTCACAAAAAAATGAAGGGTAGCATTTAAAGAAAACTCAAATGCTACAGTACCTAACTGAAGTTCCCATTTGTTTAAATTTTAACATTAGAGAAATATATTTTGTTTTTTGTTGGAACCAGAGAAAAATTGAATAACATTTAAAAATAGCTTAGCTGATTTATGGTGCATTAGCTGGCACACAAAGCCATAGAAGGCATACATCCCAGTGACGTTCGCTTAATTATTGTGAATTAAACACTCATATGCTATTCTTTCTCTAGTTACCAAAGAAAACTTCTTTTTCTCATTGGAACCAGAGAAAAACTGAATAACATTTAAAAATAGCTTAGCTGATCTATGGTGCATTAGCTGGCACACAAAGCCATAGAAGGCACATATCCCAGTGATGTTCGCTTATTTATTGTGAATTAAACAATAAACACTCATATGCTATTCTTTCCCTAGTCACCAAAAATACTACTTTTTTCTAATTGGAACCAGAGAAAAATTGAATATCATTCAAAAATAGCTTGGGTGATTTATGTAGATTTATCGTGCATTAGCTAACAGGTGGATTAAATACTATCTCTACTAATTCAACTGCAAACTATAAAGCATCCAATGTACAGGCTAAGTAAATCAGAGTGTATATGCAGAGACTGAATAATTAAACCCTCGAAAAATATTTTTGTAAAATAAAAACAAATCAAAGAACGCCCCAAAAACAAATTCCAACAATATCCTAATCCTTCCAAGAGTTGCAAACAATCCCCGGTGATAGCAAAAATCAACTTGGGCTAATATTGTAGATTTATGCACCTAGTGCTGCACAGGATTGACCTAAAAATTGTAAAACAGACAAAATTATTGTCTCCAATCTTTATACAGGAAGGAATTTTCAAATGGAATAAATTCAGTATTAGCAAACATCTATTTGCTGAAAAAAAAAACGGATTTCTTTATTTTAAGTTTGGCACACTTTTTTTTAAATGTAAATATACAGGGTGTCAATTTGAAAACTTCCCACCCCTATTCTGCCCTATTAAGTATAAGAGTCGTATCTGCATTTATAAAAGTTTCAAGAAAATCAGGAAAAAGTATTAATCTTTTTGCCATCGTAAGTATTATAATTCTGGAAATCAAAGTTAACAAGTTGTATAACATTTTTTTCATAGAATTTGAATTACAGACTTTTTTTTGCAAATTTAAATCTTAATGATGTTTTTGTTAGTTACGACAAATTTGTTTAACAATGACCAACTTGTATAGAAAAACTACAACACTTTGAGTTAAAGGTATCATTGGTTTTTTCAAATAGGGGTATTTGAAATGAGATGTTTAATTCCCAGGAGCCCAGGAATAAACTACTCTATGTAACTTAAACAACATTTTCGGTATTCAACTAAAACAAAATTTCTACAATTTGTAATTGTAACGAAAAATAAAAACACTTATGCCTAATAAATTCACAGGAATATTATATCAACTGAGATTTTTATTAATTTACTCGTCTTCTTGTTCAGGATTTTCGGAAACAGGCAAATTTTTCCAAAAGTTTATTCTAGTAATGGGAATAATTCCACGTAGGCGGTTTATGAGAGTGTCTTTTCTAGCTTGACTTATGCCACGACAGACAGTCTTGCATTTAGGCTTTTCCAAACCATTCTTTTGGTGTTTTGCTACTAAAAAATTTAATATTGTTGCCTCTTATTGATCAAATTTGCATTTGTAGGATAATGACTGCTTTCCATTTTCAAAATTAACCTGCACCATATCACTCAAATATGGCCGAGGATTTATTTTGCTTAATTTATATTGAGAACTCTTGTCTTCCCAATTAAAAAAATTGTTAATTTTCATTTCAATCAATTTCACTTTCGACGAGTTCGCTTTTTGAACGGCATCTTTGTAATCTCCGAAATCATATACTTTTTTCATTTGCTTCAAAGACTTCTCTACCTGGTGATGGAAAGAATCGGCTGACATGAACGTATGCCCAGGTTCAAAGTATTTCAGAGTTAGAGTGTTTAAAGCGACATCAGCAGAATTTACTAGATATACGCAGAAACTAAAGAAGGTCCAGTTTTTATTTTGCGCTGCACAGTTGTCCAACCACAAAATAATATTTTCAGCATCTCTATTATCCAGAAAAAAAGCATAGGAAGCACTTATGATATCTTCTTTGGATCGTCCTGACAAGGCTTCGTGCCAAACTACTGCCGTGGGAATTTTTTTGTGTTTTGATACGAGGTACGAAAATCACCTCCTTGAACATTTCGCACCGCGGAAGCATAATGACCTTAAAAAAAAAAACTAGCAGGAAAAAAATACAAAATAAATATATCTCACCTTCTGAAGATCTGCTGAACATGCCAGTATGTTGGGATTATCAGCTTCAGCGTCAATTTGATATTGTTCTCGAGCTGACTTCACGATTCCAATATGTTTATTCCATGATTTACAGTCGGCGCAGTCATTTCCCAAATTCTTGGAATCGTGATTGGTGCTGCTTTCATGATTTTTGAATGCTGCGCAAGTAAAGCACTATTCGTGTCCAAGTGCAGCGAATGAAATATTCATTTTACTCACGACATCTCTGTATAAATATTAGGAGAAATTGATAGTTGGATGTTTTGCCTTAAAGTCATTGTACATCATTACTATGGTAACATCACTAGGAAGGTATCTCCTATTAGGAGCGTGCTCCCTCCTGTAATGCGAAATTGACGGGTTAAAAGACTCTATATGCTGTCTGATTATGGCACGATCTATCATTTTCGATGAACCAGTGCAACCTCGTCGAGATTTTTGTGCCTTTAGCTGTAAGTTAGTAGCGGAAGATAATTCACTACGAATAATTCGATCATTGTTAGGCAAATATCCAAGAGTTGCCAAGAAAAATATTTTGCATACTTCCTGTATTGTACCACTATCATCTTTGAGCCTGTAGGTAAAACTCATTGATCTTCGTGAATCTAAAGATGCCTTTCTCTTGGTATTTTTCCTTTCTGTCATATTTAACACAAAAGTTTTTTGCTCTAAATCCGTTAATTGCCAGAAATTCAAATTTATATTTGCACGTTGTTCTTCTGAAATTTTTTTGGTACAGCATTTCTTGCACTTGTCTCCACATGGATCTTTCAATAAATGCTTATTTTTCTTATCTTCGACTTTTTGTTTTTTTCTGCTTTGTAAAGACGTACTAAATCTTCTGCGTTTTCGGAGTTCTCCTGTTTTTGTATATAAACAGGCTTCTCGGTTTTCGGATTGCTCAATTGCAGCGCCAATCAAGTTATCGACAATTTCGGTAACCAAAGCAATAACATTGTTATTGTTAGAATCTGAAGGTATAGCGTTTCTGGGACGAATCACAACATTTTGATGAATAATGATCGAAGGAAGTTCAGGTTCCACTTCTTCTTTTCCTTCTTCAGAACTTGATGTATCAGACGATGATGGGATCTCAAAATCTGGATCATTTTTTTCATTATTTTTTGTTAAGCGTGTTTGAGCCGAGGTTTGAGCATTTTTTTTTCTAAATTCGTCTAATTTAGTGGCCAGCTCTTTGTTTTTCCTTGCCACTGATTGCAACATTCGCATAGATCTGCTATTAATATTCATTATCCTAAAAATAGGTTCTATTTTAATAAAAGGATTCACCGGTTACACTATGATATGTTGATCTGATCAAATGTAGAATGACAACTAACTTACTTTCTTTTTAATTCCTATAAAGTAGAAATCACTTCAATAATAAGTTTAAGGCCACCAGCGGCACCAGCTCAATTATTTTGTACAGAAAAACTCAAAACTAACTGAACAGAAGTAAATAAATACTTTTTTGTGGTTATGTACAAGGTCCAAGCGTCAAAATACTCAAACTGTCAGATTGCGCGCCAAATCCGTTGTTAGAACGATTTGTCGTATCTACATTGTTAAGTAAATTTATCGTATGTACACTATGTTAAGATTATTTGTCGTATTTGAATTGAAAATACGACATATAAACTTAAAAATATGCAGTTTGGAGAATTATGCTGATGATAATTTCACATACGACAAAGAAATGATAACATTGTTTGATCACTGATGAACGGTATACGACATTTTCAACTAATAAATAGACGTAAAACCTTGAAGTGATGTGATATACTCGAAAATCTCAAAATCTGCTAAACATGCAGATACGACTCTTATATTTAACACGGCAGTATTATCTCGGGAGTAGAAAAATTTTCGAAAAAATCCCTGAAACACATCAACTATAATTTGAAGGGGGATGAGTTTTTATGCAAAATTCATCTTCCTTCTTGCAACCCCCCATCCCCCAGAGCCACCCCCTAGAAAATTTTAAATGGAAAGGGGGGTCGAGTGATACATCATTTTCTAGGGTTTTTAATTCCATAAATTTTGGTGCTAAATTTTAGTCCCAAAGTTCAACTGTTTTGGAAATATTGACAGTTGAAAATTGACTTTTTTGCTACTTTGACAGCCTGTAAAACCTAAACGGTTAATTTTAGAGGAAAACCGATCTCACATTCTCATCTTAAGATTTTCATAAACTATCATTTGACACCATTTTTGAATTTAACCGGAGATTTTGATCGAAGTTGCTGTCAAATAATAGTTTATAAAAATCCAAGACAAGAATGTGAGATAGGTTTTCCTCTAAAATCAACCGTTTAGGTTTTACAGCCTGTCAAAGTTGCAAAAAAGTCAATTTTCAACTGTCAATATTTCCAAAACAGTTGAACTTAGGGATACAAATTTTGCACCAAAATGTATGGAATCAAAAACCCTCCTGTATCACTCGACCCCCCTTCCCATTTCAAATTTTCTAGGGGGTGGCTCTGGGGGCTAGGAGTTGAAAGGGGGGAAGTGAATATTGCATGAAAACTCATCCCCCCTCAAATTATAGTTGACGTGTTTCAGGGATGTTTTCTAAAATTTTTCTACTCCAGTATAATACGGGTGGGAAGTTTTCAAATTGACACCCTGTATACAGTGAGCATGTAAAGGTTGGAATAAAATCTATAAAATATACAGGGTGGATATTTTTCAAAAAACCTCAGTCATGTCAATTTTTGATTTTATTGGCAGTTTTTTTGATGATAATACCATATATACAGGGTGACCCAAAAATAAGTTATGACAGGTAACTTTACTTTTTTAAATAAAAACACCAATTTTTTATTTCATTTCTAAATTCTACGTTGAATTCTGAACATTCTTCAACTGTTTCGGAAATATTGACAGTTGAAAATTGACTTTTTTGCAACTTTAACATGTTGTAGAACCTAAACGGGTAATTTGATGGGAAAACCGATTTTACATTCTTATCTAAAATTTTTATTAACTATCATTTGCTACCAACTCTGAATTTAATCGATGATTAAAAATTCCATTTAAAATTAATCTCCGGTTTAATTCAAAGCTGGTGTCAAATGATAGTTTATGGAAAACTAAGACAAGAATAAAAGATCGGTTTTGCTCTAAAATTAACCGCTTAGGTTCTACAGCCTATCAAAGTTGCAAAAAAGCCAATTTTCAACTGTCAATATTTCCGAAACAGTTGAAGATTGGAATAGGACATGATACATGAAAAAGGTTCAGAATTTAACGTAGAATTTGAAAATGAAATAAAAAATTGGTGCTTTCATTCAAAAAAATTAAGTTAGCTGTCATAACTTGTTTTTGAGTCACCCTGTATACGTGGTATTATTATCAAAAAAACGGCCAATAAAATCAAAAATTGACGTGTCCGAGGTTTTTTGAAAAATATCCACCTTGTATATTTTATAGATTTTATTCCAACCTTTACGTGCTCACTATAGGCATAACTATTTGAAAATAATTGTCAAAAAATACGTTTTCTATCTTTTTTTTTCTTGGTTTCTAGATCACCAAAATGTACAAGTGAATGCGTAGTGCGTCATACCTTTTTTTTTGTTCCAGGTTCCAAGGAACTATGACAACACATACCTTTACATTTAAAGGAAAAAAGCTGGGAGCGGTTTCTACCTTTAAAAGAGAAAGAAATTTCAGGAGACAAGAAAAATGTTCCCAACTAAAAAGCAATCAGTTTCTTTTATTTTCCCACTAGCATATGAAGAGGCTTTCTAATACTGAATTTATTCCATTAAAAATTTTACCCGATATTATAAACATATACAAGGGGTTATATAATAAACAAAAATGTGATGTTTGAAAAAAATATATATAATGAAAATACAAAGACGGCTATGTAAACAATTTTTATTTTCTTAAACACCTTTGTTGCTACTTTTTTTACACCTGACTTGAATATTGAAAGTAATGAAATTTCTATACAGGGTGTCAATTTGAACACCTCCATGGTTGGGAAAAAGTGAAACTAGTTTCTAATACTGTAGCAGATAGAATAGTTGCCTTATTTTACCTTTAATTGTTTTTAATTGTTTTGTAAAACCTAAGACTATTCACAATAGTTTTGACAATCAGTCAGAATATAATAGATGTTTTAAAAAAAGTTGTCGCAAATATTCATTTTCAAGAAGTGTATTTTTTTTTTGTTAGCAGCCCGAAGCAGTCGAAATTCGACATAAAAAACGAGAAATTGAATTGAGAATGCCTAAACTTCAAATGGAATTGCTTGATGAAGAAGAAAATGCCTTAAATGAATCAAATAGCGAAATTTCTGATGGCTGCGTTTCGGAAATATGTTAAACCAGTGCTGTCCAACAAGAGGCCCGCGGGTCGCGGCTGCACTTTTTGCGGCCCCCAAATTTATAAATTATTCTCAAATATGAAATATGCACAATGCTTACATTCACGATAAAACGCAAATAAAAAAACATGTGACGCCACTGGCGAAGGATAGAAAGTCGCAGCGAAGTTACTGGAATTCGAACCGATCTTGCTCGCCAATAGCTTTGTTTTGGTTTTACTCAGAACTAGTTCGGAATCATTCTGCACATGCACATAATATAAAACGCGTTTTCGTTTTTTCAAAATCGTAATCGAACTGTGTTGACAGTGTTTTGGTTTATCGAGAACTATCCAAGAACAATTCTGGGATTGTTCTAGAACGGTTCTCTCAGTTCTTATTCTGAAGGAGGAACTGTTTCAGAATCTTGTGATTTGATGCGTGGTTTGGTTTCTATGGTTCCGAATCGGTTCAGAACTAGTATTAGAACAGTCCTCTATTATTTTTGTGCGCAATCCCAGAACCGAACCAAATTTCGAACCAAATCAAAGTTAATATTCGGGAAGCCACGCGGCGCGTATATCGTATCGGCTTTGTTTTGGTTCGAAATTTGGAACGGTTCTGGTATTGCGCAGAACTGCTTGTGCACAAAAAAATACTAGAGGACTGTTCTAATACTAGTTCTGAACCGATTCAGAACTAAAAAAACCAAAACACAAAATTCTCAAACAGTTCCTCCTTCAAAGCAAGAACTGAGAGAACCGTTCTAGAACAATCCCAGAATTGTTCTTGAAAAGTTCTAGATAAACCAAAACACTGTCAACACAGTTCGATTACGATTCTGAAAAAAACAAAACGTGTTTTTTTAATATGCGCATGTGCAGACTGATTCCGAACTAGTTCTGAGTGAAACCAAAACAAAGTTATATAGGGACGCGTTTTTTCTTTGTATACCATGCCTATTAAAACTCACAAATGAAGTTGCATTCGAAGTATTTTATAATACGGCCCTTCAAACCGTAATTTTGTTCAAAGTGGCTCTTGGAGCTATTGAAGTTGGACAGTCCTGTGTTAAACAAATAAATATGATGAAAATTA